CCCCCCCCCCCCCCCCCCCCACCTCCCACATGTATCTAGGCTAAGAGAGTAACCCTCCATGGGAAATGGGCTCCTGAAGTCTGTTCTTGCACTAGGGATACATCCTGGTTCCACTGCCAGAGGCTCCAAGTGTTAGAAAACATCTTTAAAAAATTCTCTAGAAGAATTTATTATATCTATTACAAATGAGGAAAACTGAAATTCAAACCTAAGTGTGGTATTTTAACTGATTAACAATACATTCAGATGTATAATAATAAGGATTATTTCTATTGTTCATGATTGGTCAGCTAATTCTGCCTGCTAAATCTAAACAGCTCTTTTTGGCACATGGAGATTTTCTGCGTTCTCTATTCCAGCCTTCAAGTGTCCTGAGAGGTACAGATCACTTTGAAATGCACTGTGTTATGACAGTGTTTATCTGACTGTGAATTTTGTAATTTTTCAGGTGATTCTGGCCAAGGACTGAGACACTGGATCAAGAACATGCTAAACCAAGACTTGGCATTCCAGCACATAAAGATTATTTATCCAACGGCTCCCTCCAGGTATTCAACGCTTAATTTCACTTCTCAGGAGAGCTCCATGGCATAAGATGTATGTATGTTCCAGCAAGATGTTTTTAACTTTGACTTCTGTATTTCAGATATTTTAAATTATGATCCTCAGCTCCCACCTGTAAAAATGCATGGACTGTGGGCTCCTTGGCCAAGCTTTCCTGGCGAGCCCTTCTCTCTGGAACACACACTCTGACTGACCCCTTCTCAGCCCACCATCTGCTTCCTGCACGCCTGCACAGTGCTCATCTTTTAGATGCCCCCCTTTACGTCACATACTCCAAAAGCAAACTTAGTGACTTCTGCCAAGATAGTGTTTGTGATAATTTAGTTAAACTCAGGTTTGTAACCCCTGGAAAAGAGTTTTATAACATTCTTTCCAAACTTGAAAGGGTGGTAAATACTGTTAGGCTCTTTGAATCAGTAAAGAGTAGACATGCGGCACAGGCCTACTTAATGTTTAGAGTGGACATCCATGGGTGTATCTAATCAAATTCACAATCATGAGAGTAGAATGATTTTGAGGCCATAAACAGCTTTTTTATAAATATTAAATAATCACTCATATAGTCTTTTTTCAAGCTTATTTTTGCATAAACAAATATTGTGTTGTGTTATACAACCCGATTTGATTTCTCATAATCTGCTCTCATTTTTTCCCCTTAAACATGCTTTCCATTCACTAAAAAGTACTAGATTTTCAGTTTCCTGTCAACCTTGTACTCATAAAAAATGAACCAGAATTTCAAGAAATGTCCTATATTCACCAAGAAGAACATCCTTCTCTAGTCTATAGAATTGAACAGTTAGAGAACAAATATGAGAGTGTAAAACAGAAGATTCAAAAGTTATTTTAATATAACTAAGCTGAGGGGTTTGGTAGTGCTGACAGATACCTGTTGACAGATTGATACTAAGGGTTTGTTGTCATTGGCTTTTAGGGTAGGTACAGTTGGAAGGGAATGTGATATTTACGTGAAAACCCTGTAAAGGATGGTGTGTTTTAGGCTAATTGTAAATGGAGGTGATCAAATAAGACATTTGAGACATGATTCTAAGAATTTAACAGTTTTTATTTCTTACTAAGAATTTAATGATTATTGTCTCTTGACTCCCATATTATCAATTGTAACATTAATTCTAGGACACTGTTGTTCAAACTTTAAACCAGTAATATTTCATATTTACATATCTTCACCCGCACTCTTCGTCATTTGTGGGTGTTTGGAAGGGTTTGTCCCTCTAGGTTTGTGTTAGGTCTCCTTTAAGTGTTTGATAGCACTTAGAGAAGTCACCTGAACTTGAAGTTTTCTTCTGAGTTGTCGGCAATAAATTTATTTTCTTTTGTAGAACCAAGGTTTTCAGATTTTCTATGTATTTTCAAGTCAGTGTCAGTGATTTGGTGTAATTTGCCTTTGATTTAGTGATACTTATTTTTAATGATTAAATTTCTGTTTATATATTTTATTTGTTCTGATAGTAATAGCTTCTTGTTATTATTATGTATATATGTATGTTTTGTCTTATCAAGGGTTACTAGTTGATGAATCTTTTTTTTAGAACCAATTTAGGTTTGACTTTTTTCTCTATGTGGTTGTAGTTTGGACACAGAGTCTCACTATGTAGCCCAGGCTAGCCTAGAACTCATGATCATTCTGTCTTCTGTCTCCTGAGTGCTCACCACACCCAGCACCATTTTCTCTCTTACTTTTCATTTATATCCCTTCATTTTCTTTTTCTCTCCTATTTGTATTAGAGCAATAATTTTATCACCACTCTAGCCAAATCTCACCATGTTTTTTTTTTTTTCTGTCTTATTTATGTTGGAAGATTTTTCTATCACCTTCATGTTCCCTGTATAATTCTTGTGTAACAAATCACCCCTAAGCAACACTTTTATTATGGTCACAAATTTTGTGGGTTAGGAACTCAGAAAGGGCACAATAGTGGTGACTCAATCCCAATGCTGTTGTTTTTGGGGCTTCTCCTGGGAAAGCTTGCAGGTTGGGTGTGGCTTATGACTTGTCAGCTGGGGATGGGACCCTTCATCTGAAGGCTTACTCACACAGCTGGCAGTTGATTCTGGATAGTAGCTGAGGCTCTCCTGCAGCCTCTGCACTGGGACCCCGACACTGGGCTTCAGCATTTGGAGTTGATTAGATATGTGTTTGTTGAGTGTGTGCATGTGTGTGCATGTAGATGCTTGTGCACTTGGAGGTCAGAGGTTGAAGTCACTTTTCTTTCTCTCTTGCTCTCCACCTTGTTTTATGAGACAGTTTCTCTCACCAAACCTTGAGCTCACTAGTTTGACGAGACTGGCAGGCCAGCAGACTCTAGTGTTCTAGCTGCCCCTTTCTGATCTCCTCCCAAAGCCTGGCAATGGGGTTAGGGACAAGTGCCAACACTCCTGGCTTTTACTTTGGGGCTGAATTCAGATCCTTGTCTTTGTACGGGACACATCTCCCCAGCCCTCCATTTGGAGTCCTAAGCTGTGTCATAGCCTGGAGGCTCAGTTCCCAGGGGAGATAGTCTCAGAGGACAAAGAAGTTAGCTGGTGCAGAGCTTACTCGGAAGGCAAGTAGAGAGTATAGGCCTTTGCCTCTTGGCAAATGTCAGTCACGATGTGGAAGGGCTTGCATGGTTACTGTTCTGACTGGATGTAAAAAATGTAATCCCTAATGTTGGTGGCGCACACCTTTAATCCCAGCACTCGGGAAGCAGAGGCAGGCAGATCTCTGTGAGTTTGAGGCCAGCCTGGTCTACAGAGTGAGTTCCAGGACAGGCTCCAAAACCACAGAGAAACTCGGTCTCAAAAAAAAAAAACAAAAAAATAAAAAAATAAAAAAAAGAAAGAAAGAAAGAAAGAAAGAAAGAAAGAAAGAAAGAAAATGTGGTTGTTAGAGACAACATGCAGTTGACCTTTGCTTACACCTTTAGCCCAGAGGACAGCTTCTGTCTTTTAAACAGTTTGTTTAGCCATTGGATTTATAGGTTTGAACAAGTCTGTTTTTTTTTTTTTTCTCCTGTATTCTTTTTTCCTCATTTTTTGCACCATTTAAATTTTTTAATATTTCAATTTATCTGTTCTTTTTTCCTCCTGACTGTGGTAAGGCTCAATATAAATCATAGCCCTTCCCCCATCTTAGAGTAAATATATTTACCACTGTCACTGAATTTTAGAACTTCAAATTACATAGCTCCCTTTCCCTTTTCCCCTTTCTGATTCTCATGTCTTTCACCTATCTATGTTGAGAAACTTTGTTTTTCATAGTAATAAATGCCACAAAGAACCTAAGAGGGTCATTGCTTTAGTATGCTTGCTCAGTGTATTCTATAATGGCATATCATTGTAGTTTCACTAAATTGTGAATTACTCTTTTGTCTATAAGTACTCCTTTTCTTTTAATAAATGGCCTAAGCAGGAGTATATTAAATAAAAGTCAACAATAGTTTGTTGCATTAAGTAAAGTAGAAAAATAGAATAGTATTTTTTCATTATGTTAATTTGGACTCTTTAATTGGACATACCCAATAAACATTTTTATTTTTGTGGCATATTTTAACTGTGTTTACAACCACAGGCTTTCTTAGTTTGGATTTAATAACAGAATTTCCATTAAAAAATAACAATGTTTTATAGTCCATTTATAATTTTTATGGTATAAATTCTCTCAGAGATTTGAAACATTCTGAAACTCCTCAGACGTGTGTCTGCCTCTACATGTTGATCACACAATTTCCCCACACAAAGGGAGTGCTCAGCAGGCACCTGCAGTCAACATGGACTAAAGCAGATTCAGATAGTTAGTGTTTTCTGTATTTATATGTTTACATGTTCATATGGGCCGTAAACATAGAAGGCGCATGCACATGCATCTACATGCAGGTACACATAGAGGTCAGAGGTCAACTGCTCATATACAGACTGAGTAAACAGGCAAACAATTACAGTTTCAAGTAACAATCGGTGCCACGAGGACCATCAAGGTAATGAGACAGTCTGCCTGGCAGAAAAGAGGCCACGCTGCCATGGAGTCACAGGGAATCCTTTGAGAAGGTGACATTTATGTTGAGACTTAGTCAGGGGGAGCTCAGCATAGAAAGACAGGAGGAGCATGCAAGGAGAGGGAGACCAGATGTGATGCTCCAGGGTCACCTCTGAGCTGGTCCAAGAGACTCGACCTTAGAGCATGCTGAAGCAAATTATGAAACCAGGACCAAGGAGGACTGGAGCCAGGTTCTATCTGAAAGGCTGCAAATGATCTTTTGGTTTCTGTAGTTTAGGGGAGCACCGACCAAAATAAAAATGGGTATTCAGCTGAATGCCTTTTTATTAAAAAAAATATATTTATCCTGGGCTAATACTTTACCAGTGTGTAATGGGTCGATTGATTGATTGATTTAGGAACCACACAGATGCTCTTTGCTGAACATATTTGTTTATTGTGGTAATGTCTGAGCTGCTTTTATACCAGCTAATAAAGTGATTTATTTGAGGAAGAAAGTGAATGAATATAACACATGTGCCAGGCCTTTTAGCTGTTTAAAAAACAATCTTTTATGCTTTATATAAAGGTTATTCTAACATCTTGGAGATTTATGTACTCTTGATTGTTTTCTTAGCAAAAAAAAAGTTCTGAAGTCTTTTTATCCCATTAAATTATCCTAATGATTTCTTTTGAACAAAAAAAAAATTATTTTTTTTCCTCAGAGAAATGAGAGACCAAAACCCTGCAGATGTATAAATTGGGCTTTCCATTGGGCTCTATCATCTCAGTGGCCTATCTATCTAATTAATTAAATAAGGCATTGTCAAAGGGAAAGGAGTAGAGTGAGTGTCATTTTTTCCCATTAATGGCTGAGTTCCCAGAATGATTCACATTTTAGCCTATGATATCATCCTTATTTAAGTGCTTAGACAGACAAATAAACAGTTAGAGGACTAGCAGAGGAAAACGGAGAGGGAAGCTGAAGTGAGTCAAAGGATGACAGTCTGACTGGAACTTCAGAGTGAGGGCTGTGCCATCTCCTCTGGAGTTGGGCTTCAACTAAGATGTCAGTGGCTGTCCCGATGAACTTGGGACTTTAAGGTGCATGACAAGGACTTTGAACAAAGCACCTGCCTTCATTTGCAGTGGACTCGGGCTTAAGCTTGAGGAGGCCTCTGGGAGGAGGAAGGGCTTGGGTGATTTCTGCCTTCTCTCCTGAGCACAGTGGCTTCTGGGATCCGAAGGTGCAGTGGGATGAGAGGGGAACTGAGTTGAGCTGCTGTGGGATTTTATCTTTCCTGCAGCAACTGAGTATAGCATGAATTCTAACTGGTCTTAATAATAAAAACCCAGAATCAGATGTACGGGTAAATGCTGAAAGAACAGAGAAGCAGAGCAGCCAGCCAGGAGTTCTAACCTCTAGTGAATCCTCAGACCAGACGGGCGATCCTGTCTCTAGGACCCTCAGACTGAATGCACCCAGCTCTGGTCTCCTCCAACCTAATGTTCCTCACCACACCCAGCCCTGTCCCCTCCTGCCTCCACCTCCCTAGCGCTGGGATTAAAGGTGTGAGCCACCACTGCTTGGCCTCTATGGCTGACTAGTGGCTAGCTCTGCACTCTGATCATCAGGCAAGCTTTATTTGTTAAAGCACAAAGTATCACCACAACTGAGGGCCTGGGTAGAGGGGAGAGGGAGAAAAGCCTGGTGGGCTCAGTCTACAGAAGTCTGCCCTCCTCCCAAGGTTTTCTCTTAGAACATTAATCTCAGATAATAACGCATGTTAATTAAATTCCCAAGATATTTTTAAAAAGAATTATTTGAGAGTATTTCAGACTTTTCCAAATGTTTTGATTTGCTTCTTTACTAAATAAAGACCCATGAATGTATAACCTAGTATGACATCTATCATGACAAAGACATAGGTCAGTAGGGGAATCTGCCTTTGTGGAGGTGCAGAAGCCAAAAGTTGTTAGTGCAATGGTATTTTTGATTTTCCCCAGCCTGGTAGGATTCGTTCTTTTCTAGCAGATTAAGCAAGAAGTCCCTCACGGTGTACAGTGAAGCCTTAGGTATTAGGGCTACCACTTGTCTAAGAATGGTGCCTGCTTCCTCTCATCATCCCCATCAGTCCTCCCTCCCTCCTCCCTCCGCCCTCCTCCCACCCTCTCTCCCCACACCTGTCCATATTAGATAACATGAATTTGAGCTTGAGCCATACCACATAGGAAAGAGTTTCCCAAGTTTAAGTTTTGAACAGTAAAAATGGCAGCTCAAGTCATGGAAGGATTTTAGATAAGGCTTTGCTGGTTATGACTATCTCTGTGCAAGTGCCCCCCCCCCAAGATTTGAAAAAAACACTTGAATCAGGAAAGCTGGAAACTGAACTTTTAAAGGAAGACATTTTGAATGCTTTCAAGTGTGGAATTCTTTTATCTGGTAAAAAGGGATACTTTATATAATGATGTAATGGTATTCTAATTAAATTATAAGATAATTTAAAAGATACTATAAATATACATGACTATGCAAAGAATATTTAGAAAACACCACACTTGAGGACAGAAGGCAAGTCTTTGTCAGTAACACACAGTGCTCTTCTGAATTACTGGGAAAAGCTTTAAACTCCGACAGAAGAAAAATCGCTGGTGTTGTCCATCAGCATTTCCACTGATGCAATGATTTGAAATAGGCAAAGTTAATCAGCGCTGGTGGGATACCCAGTGTGGTGTGGGAGGTACATCTGAGTTGTCGGAAAAGATCTGGGGGAGGTTGCGTCTTGAGGAAGGAGTGGTCCATGTGACCATGAGATGGGGGTCCCCATGTCCAGAGCATTTGAAATCTGAGGTTAAAACTGAGCAGGGTTCTATCTGTCAACCCAATAAACTTTATTTTATGACTTAGTTGATACACTCAAGAGAATGGCAAGGAAGCAGGTCAGGTGTCAGCTGGTTCTTTTTGTCCTCCTCGTCTTTTGCTTTTCTAAGTTACACGCTAGCTTTCCTTCCGTGTGGCTTGGAAAGTGAGTGCATAGCTGAGTCTGAGAAACAAAGTAGAAGAGGTAGTGATGAGTAGCCAGCGGTGAGAAGAGTCACTGTGATTGGTTGAGATGCCTTTCAATCATAGTGGGTCTTTTGTTGCTGGCCAGCTCATGTGTGGCACTCTTACATATAAATTGAACCATGTATTTTGCTATGAAGTAAGAAGATGAGAGCTTGCCAGGGAATGGGCAGTGCCTCTGGTCAAACCTCCTGTCCCTTATCCTGGGCAGCCCTTCCTTCTCCATGCTTTAGCAGAGCTGCCTCTGCTCAGCAAAGCGTCTCCAAAATTGTCTTCATTCCCCTTGTCTTTACCTCTGCTGACACAGAGCTTAGACCCAAAACCTTTAACAACATTGTTATTGGTTTACAAATATTTGGAATGTGCACAAGTATGTATATAAAACTGGAAGTTCATTGCATAACATTAAGGTACACAAATGGGCTAATATTCATAGCACCATAATTGTCATACCTCCTAACAATAGGTAATTAATGGGCTGTGAGATGGCTCAGAGGGTAAGGGCGCTTGCCACCTTAGAACCATGTTCTACCACTGAAACCTTCAAGAGTCAACTGACACTTGCCAATTGTACTCTGACCTCCACGTTGCCCATGGCACACCTCCCTGAAATAAAAAAAAAATGTAATGATTAGACAGTTAACTAAAGATGCTGAACCAGCTTTAGGAAATGCTAATGGAATAAATATAAGGATGTAGCTGTAGTATGTATTGGGCATTTTCCACACAAATTCTTTAATATAAAATTCAGCAAAAAAACAGTACATTAATCCTTTAGAAATTTTAATATCACTTCTTTGTTGTTGTTGTTGTTTGTTTTAAACAGGCCATATACTCCTATGAAGGGAGGGCTCTCCAATGTGTGGTTTGACAGATTTAAAATATCTAATGACTGCCCAGAACACCTTGAGTCAATTGATGGGATGTGCCAAGTGCTTACTGAGCTGATTGATGATGAAGTAAAAAATGGCATCCAGAAGAACAGGATATTAATAGGTGAGGTCTTTATAACGTTGGTGATGCATTTCACTTTTGTCTAATTAAATTTTTTGAGTTACATTCGTAACATTGTTTACAAGTATGTGAATATTGCTTGACACATTCACAGTTTTGGATAAGCTGCATGTGCAGCTTTCAAAAATATTAGAGTCATAAACAACAGCTCATAAAACTTCCATTGATTTCATTTTTAATAATAACTCTTTTTTTGCCTTGTTTTAGACAAGGCATTGCTATGTTGCCAAGATTGACCTCAAAATCCCAATTCTCCTGCACCACATGGGCTATACGAACACAACATCATGCCCTAGCTAATTTGCCGTTTTTAAAGAGATAATTAAGTTTCTACTCTTAATTTTTAACTGAGTTATCCATTCCAATTAAAAATACTTTTCTTTTATGTAGCTGGGGTCTTAGATTATAAGATTAAACTGCTCTTACCCTGATTGAAATAAGATACATGGTGAGAATGTGTTGTCAAATTGATGAGCAAGAAGTCTTTCGAGTGAGTGTCACAAGAATAAAGCGTTGATAACCTGTGTTAATCATGTCACAGTGAGCCCTGTTCCCAGGGGCATTTAAAGCTTCATGTAAATTATGTATTGAATTCTTCTTTGGCTGAGCTCATCAAATACACTAACAAAATTTCTATTTAATACGTACAAATACAGGATGAGCTGTGTAAAATGTCAGCAGTACAGAATGTTTTGGTCGTATGAACTTTTAGCAACAGTATTTGATAATGAAATTATAATGTCAATTAAATATCTCCACCCTGTGCTAAATAGCATCAAAGTATACTCAGAAATCTTCTAGAGACTGGGTTGAAGTATGTTTTAGTGCTATGATGTTCCTTGGTGCTCAGTGAGGTACTGAACTGTTCAGTGAGTTACCAAGGCCTATCCTTTTCACTCTTCAGTGATCATTTAAACACAAATTACTGCAAAATATCTTTCTGCTAGCTTCACTCTAATGTGTCAGACAACTCTGCCTAGTTCTTCCGGTACAACAGAGGCCTGCTGATGCTTCCTGTTAAGAGAACAATGTGAGTCCTTTGCATAAAACTTGGAAAATGCATTCTTCATGGGCCACTCCACAGTCAGCTGTACCCTCCTTTGTGTCTCCTTTGACATTTGTGAATCCTCATTGGGTGCATTAAGAATATAGGACAATGTTCATTTACTTGTTTTTTTTTTTTTTTGCACTATTTACACACCACATTAGTCTATAAAGTTTACGATAAAACTTAGAAGAAATACAAGCATTCAATTACTAACTTTCCAACTACCTTCTGAAAATTAACCAGATAGTTCCTGGTAGAAGCAGCACTGCGAGGAAACTTAACAGTCTGTGTTCTGACTTTCTTACACACTGTGAGTACCCATGTGTAAAATATGAGTGCATGTGATAGTGAGTGCATGCCTCTTGGATTTACTTCATGGGCTTCTGTGTGTTTTATTTAAGAAGAGAAATAAAAATGAAGAGTGAGAGGCTCCAGTGTGCACTCTTTGCTGGGAAAGCCTGGAGGTAACGGTAACCCTCTCCCGTTAGCTGGCACTCGGCTCATCAGTGTGCGCTAGAGATGACGGTAGCCCTCTCCCGTTAGCTGGCACTTGGCTCATAGCAGTCTTCTGTTTGGAAAGTGTTGAAATCATAAGCTGTTCTTCCTTATACAGCTGTCCCATTGAGCCTTGCAATTAGAAAGGTAGGATATAATTATTTCATCCCATCAATGAAGGGTCTAAACTCCATAGGTTGTGGGTGACACAGAGGGAACCTAGAACCCAAGCCCCTTGATTTAGCCAAGAACTTTCTGCCATGATAGAATCCATTCATGGCCACTAGGTGGTGACAACTTGTTAAGAGAGACTATTGGTATAATTTAGGTTCAATTTTGATCTGGAATGTATAGAATGTGACACCAGAATTTGGGTACTATGAGTGTATGATCCAAATTTGACAGTAGGGAGGAGCAAGTGTTTGTAGGACCACACTTCTGTCACATGGGCAGCTTGCACACTTGTAATGAAGTGCTCCATTAAAGTAGTCGTGGTCCATTCATGAAGCTGTGTTGCATAGCCATCAAATTCCCTGTCTACACATAGAGGGCACTCAGTAAGTATTTATCCGTTTTAATTTAGACCTTAACTTTTGTATGTTTTGCAATCCCATGGAAAGATGTCTCACACGAGGAATCCATATGAGAAAGCAAGATACAATATGAATGGGTTCAACTGTTAAAACAAAATTTGAAAACCTGCTGAACAGATCTAGGTACTAAGAATTTCAGGACTGGTTTCCTCCATTTGCTTTATCTATAGAAGAAATACTTTACAGGATGGACATTTGTTAACATATCAACATAATAATAGAATTTAAGATAAAAGTAAAAAAGGGGGCATAGGGAACTCACAGATACAGCCCAGCAACACCATTTTCTGAACCCTCAGGTCCTGCCTGGGGGTAACATGTGGGGTGATGGTACTGCTCTCTCTACATACCTACAAATAAATGCATTTTTACTAATTAAAAACAACTCAGGATTCTTTCAGCAATGCTCACCAGGCCTCCAAAGGCTTGGTTGGAATTGCTGTCCTAGCACTCTTGCATAGAAGAGTAGAAATATTGTAGCTAGCCAGCCTGATAGGAGAGAAAATGAAGAAATAAGCAAGGTAACCAGGAGTCATCCATTCCCAGGCCTTTGCAGCCTTTTCCCACATTTGAAGAGTACTAGAGTACCATGTAAATGAAATAGAGGGACTGAAATTTGGCGTGGGGGTAGATTTTATACCTTTATTTTTTTTTCAATCTGTTCCCTTGATAGCTAACTTCGTGTTTTTGTTCATAGGAATTTGCATTGAGAGAACACATTAATTTTCCCAGTATAGACTTTTTATAGATTGTTTCTGTTTTATTTTATATAAAGAGTTCATAAATCCAAGTTTATTATTTTTAACATGTTTTATTCAGCTTGTTAGCCTTAAGTATATGTTAAATTGTTACCTCTTACTACTTTAAATAATTCACCAGCGACTATAAATGCCCACTATAGCCACTACTTACAATGAATTTACCATTTTCTATTTGCTTACTGAGTAGTATATTGTGGGCTAGAGTGTAGGATCCTAGATGAAAGACTGACTCAAATAACTGGCCCTTTGTGTTCAGTTTTCTTCTCTGAGGGAAAATACACAAAGTTCCTTTTCACAGTGTCCCATGCTAGAGTTGACAGTGTTGTCAAAGCCAGCAAGTGGGGAGCTGTGATTACCTCACAAGACTGTAAATGTGTTAGGGACTTAAAATGTGATCTTAATAAGATTGCAATATCACATGCTCTCCTTTGAGATAGACAGAAACACAAACTCAAAGCCTGTAGGAAATCTCCATGTGTTTTCTTTTTTCTCCTTTTTCTTTTTCTTCTCGTCTCTTGTTCCCCCACCCCCACCCCAGCCCCCTTTCTTATTTCATTTTTTTTTTTTTTTATTTCTCAGGCTAGTCTCATCAAAAGATACTGAACCACACAAAGTCACTAGATTTCCTACATAATAAAAATGAAATGTCAAAGATGCTTAATGTGTTATTCTCTTATGGTTTTATAATCACTTTAAAATGTATTGTAGCCTATTAGTTTATTTCATTTACACTTTATTTTTTAATGATATTTATCTCAGTCTCAAGATTTTCTTTTATGAATTAATTCCTCTAGCTTATTGGATTTTGGTAAGTTGTTTTATCTGGGTATACTCAGATGATCTTTGTTGTTTTAGTAGAGCTGCCACCAACGACTATGGTTCTTTAAATTCAAATTTAGGCTACTAGCAGTTAAACACAGTTTAAAGTTTAGTTTCCCCCTCACATTAGCTGTCCTTGAAGTGACTATGAGCAATGTTTGAAAAAATGTAACGCAAGCTCTTGAGTTTCTTAGAAAAGAACAGCTCTGTGGTGTCCACAGAAGACAGATCCATCTTCAATCATGGCCATGCTTGCATTTCACCCATAATCCTTAGTGCTGAATTACTCACAAAACAGCTGCAATTCCCAAAAGTCTAATTCATGGTGTAAGAGCACTTGAAATCAGACATATGTGATGAGATTTTGCTAGTGGCCTGGGATTGATATTTTTAAGAAGACAAATTGTGAGTGTCCGGGGCAGAGGGCACCGATCATTCACTCCGGATTTCCTCTTATTTTGTGAGATGCTGTATTGTTCAGGTTGACCTCAAACAGTCCCCTTACCTTCTCCTCCCAAGCGCTTCGATTGCGTGAAAACAACACCATTCCCAGTTTCAACCACAGATAGGTTTTGTTTTTTTTTAAATAGCTTTATTATCATATCAAATTTAATTACCAGAAAATGACATTTCCTGACGATAAATTTGCTTCCTCACAGAAATATATTTTCCAAGCTTCAGTTTACATTAACTTCATTTATTCAGTGACTATTTATGAAGCCCCCCTAGGTGCCCAGCCCTGTTCCAAGATAGGGAGCTCTTTCTTCTCTGGTGGATACTAAGTCGTTATGCTCTTTATTGAAGACTTTATTAAAGTGTCAGTAGCAGAAGTGGCCACATGCACAATGTCTGGCTTTTGAGTTTTATGTTTAATAAAGATCCACTTAATAAATTCCAGCAAGAAATTAAATGCTAGGAAGTTTCCAGAATGATTTATTATGGTTCCTTCTGTGAAAGAATATTGCCTTGCTACAGAGGAACAGTTAAACCTCCAGCTAAGGCTTGAATTATCACCCTGCCAGTGTCATGGCCTGCTCCCTTCCCTCTCCTCCTGAGCTTCACATTTCCTCCAGATTTCTCCCTCTCTCTGCCTCCCTCCCTCCCTTTCTCCCCCCCCCAATATCTCTGTGTCTGTTTCTCTGTATGTGTGTCTCTGTGGCTTTCTCTGTGTGTGTCTACTTCTCCCTATCTCCCTCCCTTCCTCCCCCATGTCCTTTTCTCTATCTGTCTGTCTATCTATCTATCTATCTATCTATCTATCTATCTATCTATCTATCTATCTGTGTGTGTGTGTTTTATCTCTGTGTCTCTTTCTCTGTGTGTGTGTGTGTCTCTGTTTTTCTGTCTCTTCTGTGTGTGTCTATCTCTTCCTCTCCCCCTCCGTCTTCCTTTCCCTTCCTTGCTCCCTCCCCCGCTCTCTGTCTGTCTCTCCCCACCCCCCACACACCAGAATCCTTTTCAGAGGCATAGCTCATGATAAACATTATATTTGTCTTTACAGTTTATATAGATGGGTAAGGCATAAAGGAAGAGGTCGAGGCAATGGGCATTCCCAACACTGACCCATGACCCATGAGGATGTAGGGAAACTACAATTCTGTCCCAGGAGATGTTGCTCTTACTCCTCAGGAAGAATGGATGTGTGTACTTAGGGTAAATGTAAACTTTGAAAACCTTTGAAGATTCGAGTTTTACTGTCAGATGTAAATAGAGTTCTTAATTGGTCTAAGTAATAAAAAACCCGGAGTCCGATACTGAAGAAATGCTTAGAGACCAGAGAGAAGGAGCCAGCCATGGCACACCCACCTTACCTGTTAGCATCTCAGCAGACAAGAGAGCGAATTGCTGTTTCTCCCCGCTATATCACTTCTTGTCTGTCTGTACAGACCTCCAGACCTCTATGGTTAGCTAGTGGCAAGCTCCAATCTGACCTTCAGACAGGCTTTATTTCTACAAGCAAGATACCACCACAGCCAGCCAATCATACGTTGTTGCTTCAGAGGTCTGTTGGAAATCTTTAAGCCTATCTGCTCTAGCTCTCCAGTTTTTCTGGAAATTAAGTCTTGGATTTTAATGAATTTATTCAGACATTTAGGTGGCACATGTCATAGGCAGAGTGGAAGTAAGGTTCCCATATTCCACTCTAATCATCTTTCTAAAAATTTTAAGTTAGAAAATATTGAGAGGCTTATGAAATATCGTTTTCTAAAGTATCAAATTAACAGGCATTTTTGTGTTAGTTGGTTCTGAGATAGGGTCTCGTGTAGCCTTGGTTGACCAAGAGCTTCCAATCCTCCTGCCTCCATCTCCTTTCAGCTGACAATATAGAGGTCACCACCAATATGGATTCAGTTAGACAGACCTAACGATTCAATTGCCATCATGTGCCAGACATTGGACTGGACTGGGTGTTGAAGATAAACTAGCTAATGAGTGCATGCACAGAAGAGCAGAAACACTGCTCAGCAGGCCGGAAGCACTCAGACAGTTTCCCACAACTGAGGAAAGAACTGCCTCTTCCTCTCAGGGTTTGCAGCATCCAGAGAACCAGTAAGTATATCTTTATCAAATCAAAAGGAGAGTTTTGCTTCAGACCCGCTTGCTATTGGGTAGAGCCTTCAGAAAAGGCCGGAAGCTAGAACTGCCGCAGAGTTGAAGGGGAAGAACAATGCTGAGACTCCACTCTGCATATCCACGTAGTCAGTAGCTGGGGCTGCTACTTGTCCATGCCAAGTTCTGTGTCCACAGGGCACTCATCAAGGATGCACCATTGCATAGACACAGCTGCAGCCCACTGGCTGTTCCATCCAGGCAAGGCCCAGACAGAAAGGCAAGCACAGAGTGTCTTCAGATGTGCACCCTCTCCTTCGCCAGGCTGTGAACCTTCCTCCGCTGTCTTTGCATCTGGGGAGGGGTGGGTCTATCATCCTTTAACATGGTTCCTGTTCACACTGGTCTACTCACTAGACCACTAGACTCTAGTGCTTTCTGGTGAGCCCTGCCATTTCTTTCTGGAATAATAAAATTACAAGCATAACAACCATTCTTACCATGCATGGTTATTACTCACAAATTGTGCCTTTTAGGAGAAATCTAAACTTTGCAAGCTGCCCACTTTTATATATTTGAATCCGGCACCCTAATTAATCGCAGCTGCCTTTCCCAGAGAAAGAAACCCTCTGAATAAATAAATAAAGGATGTGAGAAGGGACACTAAGCTCTGTGACAGGGATCCCTAAAGTCTTCACTTTCCACCTGAAGCTAAGGAAACCCCTTTAAGCAGCCCTCCTGCTTTCTCAGGCCTGTCTTCTTGATGCATGGGGGGAGAGTCTTACAAAGTCACATGATGGCCTCTGAGGGGGGCTAGGGCTGTACTTTATTATGTGAAATGAAGCAGTAGGCTGAAACTCTGTAAATGTGTGGTTTGCTTTCATTATTTATTTCTCATAGAATACAAACAAGATGCCTCCAACTCTCGCTAAAGGCTGGGACCACCATGCGGAGCTCTGAGCTCTAGCCATGTGTGGCATGCCCAGCCTCTCTGCTCTTTCCCTGCACCCTGTCTCTAATCTGTGCTTTCTCACCGGCATCTCCTAAACAGTGGGGTCTCCATGTGTTTTCATTTGCCTGTTTCTAGCAACTAGCACAGTACTGTGTACTTAAAGACAGAGACAGAAGGATCATGAGTTCCAGGCCAGCCTGGGCTACATCGTAACCAAAGACTGGCAAAGTTTTCTCAGCCCTTGGAGCACTTAAAGTAGTTAAGTAAATAAATGGTTTTTCTTATATAGGTAAGTTCTTTTTATTTTATCTTGTCAGTTTACAAAACAATACCATATTTCAAAAAAATGTTTTACCTACTCACCAGTGTTTTTACTCATCCTTCCTAATGCAGAGGTCATCAGGCATCTGTTGGGAGAAGATAGCGGAAATATGGCTATTGGTGGACCCTGTAGCTCAGCTAGTGATACAGGGAGGAACATGGTGTTAACTGTAGGTGTGCTGTGAGGGTTCCTATAAGTAAAACTCAGACTCAAGTAGACACTGGAAGTTTAACTAAGTCAGAGTCATACTATGCCTTGTATTTTGAATTATGATAAATATTTTTCTTGATGCGTGCAATTTTTCTCCTCAGTCTGGCTCCTTCTGTAATACATCTATTTACCACTGATGTCTTGGTTGTATTTATTCACAGCAGGGTTTGTTCTCTGCGACCTGAAGAAGACTGATGGCTTGAATAAGAATGGCACCCATTGGCTCCTGTATTTGAATGTTTAGTCACCAGGGAATGGGACTGTTTGAAAGGATTAGAAGGATTAGGAGCTGTGGCTTTGTCAGAGTAGGTGTGGCCTTGTTGGAGGAAGTGTGTCACTAGGGGTGAGCTTTGAGGTTTCAAAAGCCCACACTAGGCTCAGGCACACTCTGCCCACACCCAGCCCCATCTCTCTACTTGAGGATCAGAGTGTGGAACTCTCAGCTCCTTCTCCAGCATCGTGTCTGCCTGCCTGCCATGATAATGATGGACCAAACCTCTGAAACTAGAAACAAGCCCCCAATTAAACGCTTTCTTTTATAAGAGCTTCCATGGTCATGGTGTCTCTTGAGCAATAGAATAGTGACTAGGACAGAAACTGATGTCCTTTTTAGGAATCTATTTCCTTCACATCTCCAGATGTCTTTATAATGTTTGTGAAAGGTTTGTATTGACTCGTCTTATTCTGAAGTACCATGTGACCATGCGTATTTTTCATTGTCTGATAAACGTGTGTTGTTTCCTTCAGGGGGATTTTCTATGGGAGGCTGCATGGCGATACATTTAGCATATAGAAAACACCGAGATGTGGCAGGAGTATTTGCTCTTTCTAGTTTTCTGAATAAAGAGTCTGCTGTTTACAAGGTAAGTTCCAGATTTAAAAAACAAACAAATGTAACATGGAACAAAGACATGTTGAAACTAAAATAAAGTTGATAATTAAGCAATAAAATGTGGTGCCTAGTCAATATAGATTAAATGTTCCTGGAATCCATGGCTAGATGAGACATGTTGATTCCAGGAGGCCTCTCTGTTTTCAATCTCTCCTTGAAAAGGACAGTTATAGCAAAAGTATGTTTAGTATTATATGAACCTGTCTACTAGAATGTTGAAGGCTATAGTCAGGCTTGCTTATTATGAGTCTACTCAGAAATTAATTATAAAGCTGATACTTTACACAGTATTTAGGCTCACGACTGTTGTACACGGTGGCGTTACAGCTCCATTACCAAAAGTTGAACAGAGCATCTGAAGGTGACTTTTCCCTTCTGTAGGGCCTCCAATCTGTACTTCTCCCTCTTCCTGGAATCCCCTAAGAAGTCTGTCTTTACATTTCACTCCGTTTCTTGAGGAAGTGCATTTGTGGAGTCCTCGGTGGTGCACACATAGGGCACACACTCACCCAGCCCTCAAGGGGGCCTCCTCACTGGCATACAGTGCCCAGCTCCATCTGCGCCACCTCTGGAGGCTCCCTCTTCCTTCACTTACAGGAGCTGTGGCAAACTGAGAGTCGTTTTCTCTGATGGGTTGTCTCAGCCGACTCTCTCCACCTTCCTTTAGGATCTTCAGCAAGCTGAGCGCACCCTCCCTGAGCTATTTCAGTGTCACGGCACCGTAGATGAGCTGGTTCTTCATGCCTGGGGCGAAGAGACAAACTCAAAGCTGAAATCTCTAGGAGTGAGCACAGTGTTTCACAGTCTTCCAAATCTTTACCATGAAATGAACAAAACTGAGCTGGAGAGCTTGAAGTCGTGGATTCTAACAAAGCTTCCAGGAGAGACTGTAGGGCAGAATGAATGAATGAATCCTCACCACCATATTGATTAGTATCTTACATTTAACAATTTTTTTTCTCATTTAATCCTCACAGAAATTAGGCTTGGTGAAACAGCCAGCATTCCCATCTTTTATAAATGGAATTTATGATATCTGTGTGTTCTCCTTCCACAAAATTGTCTTGAAAATCATCATGTTGTAAATGTCAACTGTTTATTTTGTGGCTGCATAGATGCCATGGATAAGGTGTTATTTGCTTGTCCATTCACCACAGATTTGGGCTACTTCCTGTGTGGGGCTGTCATAAATAGGGCTGTTGTGAGGTGTAAGCATCCACCCTCACAGTGGAGAGGCTGGGTGATGCATTGCCATTGCCTGAAACTGTCTAACTGTTTCTCAGTGTAGTTTTACCATTTTCCATTCCAGTCAGTGTGGTGGCCCCTGGTGCCCAGTTCATCATACTTTCATTTGGCCATTCTGGTGGCTGCATAGTGTTCGATCTCCATAGTGTTTGATGTCTGTGATGCAGGTTTGATTTCCATTTTCTTGATGACACAGAGTCCTACACTGGAGGATTTTTCCACATTTGTGAAGAATCAGTTTGTCCTCCCCAATGTGTTTCTAGATTGTCTTTGTGATAAGTGATTTATTGTCAAATTATAATGATAAATAAAATATGAATAGATAATTTACTGACTTACAGATTTACTTATTAAAATGTCTAGTTCTCTGAGGAGTAATATAATCTTATCAAAGGTGGAATTAATTGAGATCAATATCTGACATTGTCTTTGAGATGAGTTGTTATGAACACTGAAAATAAGCACACAAAATAATAGGGTTTCTCATGGTTTTCACACACATGTCACACATGTCACACATGTCACACATGTCACACATGTCACACACTTCGCTCCCGACCCTCCCTGCACCTTCTCCCACTTCTCCCACTGATTCACTTGCTCATGTCAGATCGCCCCTTCTGCTTTCATCTACATACATATCTGTGTGTGTGCTCGTGCTTGCATGTGTATGTGTGTTCTGCACATGGAAGAACACATGGTAACGTAACACTTGTCGTCTTTTTCCATCGTTCTTCTCTCTGGTCCCTTCCCTCTGGGTCTTTCCTTTCCTCCACATAGTACCCTCTTCCACTCTTACATGCATGTCTATGGAAATCAACCTAGATTCTTCATACAAGAGAACATGTGATAGTTTTCTTTGGGTGTCATGCGTATTTCATTGAATGTAATCTCCACTTCCGATCCCTTTATTGGAAATAAGTATTCCTCATAACAACTGTATATTGCACCAAATTCTCTTTATCCTTTTGTCCATCAAGGCTTCTGCACTGGCTCCGTGTCTTGACTACTGTACACAGTGCTGCAGGATGCATGGATGTTCAGCATCTCTGTACTGATTTAGATGCCCTCAGGCGTATACCATGAGTGGTATGTCTGGAGCATAAGGTAGTTCTATGCTTTGTTTCTTGAGGAGCCCCCATATTGATTTCCATAATGGCTGCCCTAGTTTATATTCCATCAATGAGTTTTATTTACATCCATGCCGACATTTGTTGTCATTTCTTTTCTTGATGGCAGCCGTCCTTACTTGAGTGAGATGGAATATCAGTGATATCGTGATTTCAATGTAGGGCTGATGATGGGAGTGTCCAAGGCTTTTTGTGGATTTTCATCAGTTCCATCTGATAAGAAGGCCCTTTGAATCCTTTTCTTTATCAGTCACTGAATGTGAGGTGATCTTTTTAATGGGGCCACAGGATAGAGTCACAGACAGTTCTGGGGTCAGGAGCCCAGGGTCAGCATGAACCCGATAGCAAATAAACAGCTTCTTTCAAAAGTGGGAGGTGACTGCTTCCTGAGGACATCAGGGTCCAAACTGTGGTATACCTCCATGTGGAAGCCACCTCACTTTTCCTTATTCACAACCTCAGGTATACAGACTGGAAGATCAAGATCAAGACACAGATCAAGACACATATTTGGAAGAGAATTGACTCTTGGCTCAAGATGGTGCCTTGCTGCATGATAGAAAGGGGACGGGCAACAAGCACCAGGGTGTGGTGTTCGGTACTTATTTCATAGCTAGACTTGACAAGAAGCAATTTACTAGAGGAAGGGTTTGTTTTTGTTCACAATTTGAGGATGGCTGGAGACAGTATGGTGGTAGGAAGACCTGTTGACTATCTGAACAGGAGCACAGGACTGCTTGCTCACATCTAGGCAGATTAGGAGGAAACATCACATAAGAAACTAAGCTGGGCAGGCTCTAAGCCTCAGCGTCCCACCTGTAGTGACTTATCTCCTCCAGCTGGGCGCTACCTCCTGTAGGTCTCACAACCTCCCAAAACAGCACCACCAGCTGGGGACAAAGTGTTCAAACATGTGATCCTATGAAGCACACTTGATATCCAAACTATAACAGGATTGCATTGGACCTCTTTTATAATATTCCTAATCTGTCACAATAATGTTTAACATCTAAGATAAGAGTTGTGGAGGGATTGACTTAGTCAAGCTATAGCATTAGCTGCTGCCCATCCAGATGGATATTTACAGCAGCTACTAAAGGGTGGGCCCATGGGTGAGATGAGCTGAGGTCTTAGCATGAGAGCACTGTTGGAAAGCTGTTTGGGCATCTTGTCTTTACAGCAGCTACTAAAGGGTGGGCCCATGGGTGACATGAGCTGAGTCTTAGCTTGAGAGCACTGTTGGAAAGCTGTTTGGGCATCTTGTCTCAGCCTGCAGTCACCTCTCTGGTTATTCCTCATGAAGAAGAAATAAGACAGAAAAAGAAAGTATCTCCAATAAGACCATACGTGTTAGTCAGCATGTCTGCAGCAGTTCTCCACGGAGTCCCCTCAAATCTCATCATTCCCCCTCGGGACCTCCAGTCTTTCTCTTCACATACTTCAGCTCTTCAGAAACAGGGTGGGGAATTTTCATGTGTAACTTTAACTAGATTTTTACAAAGATGTAAAAAATATTTCTACTATTTTGTGATGCTATGTAGACCTCTTGCTTTGGATTCATTGTGAAACCATGTGATTTTTCACTTTGGGAATAAAAAGAGTGGTTCTGTGATGCAGGCTAAACATGGAAGAAATCTTGTTCTCATGTCCATAAAATAACTTACGTTTGGCCCAATAGGCTAATAGTTTCTGTTACCAACTCCAGATATATATTTGTTCATTTATTTATTTTAAGAAGTGTGATTTGGGGGTGGGTGCGTAGGTCACTGGGGATGGTACTTGAGGTTTCAAAAGCCTACTCCATTACCAGTTATCTCTGTCTCTCTCTGTGTGTATGTCTCTGTTTCTGTCTTCCTCTCTTCCTCCCTTCTGAGAAATGTCAAACCCTTTCACAGCTTTGCTATAGTGTATTATTTCCTCTGATTGGTGTGTTATCACCTCCTCCGAGTGACAAAACTTGAATATTTCAGACACGTATATGGAGAGGCCCATACCCGCCTATTTTAAGCAGAGTCAATCTTCAGTGCCTTGGTGGGTCTAGAAGCCTCACATGGTATTAAGCGAACATTTACTTAGCTTAAATTGCCATGAATTAGGACACAGACTTTTTACAATGATGGTGGTAAGGTATTTTTACAAACTGAAGTTCTAGCTAGGGAACTGAGTTCTGTAGGTGAACACACCCAACCTGAAGCCAGACTCACAGAATTCCATTTCAATAACCACCCAGAGTATATGCTCTAATTCAAAAGCCACTTTTGGATGGCTTTGAAAAAATATTTATCAGAATGTAATTACATAAATCTTTGAAAATAACTAATAGAATGACTGATGGGAACTTGCTGTACAGGGAGTTTTGAAGGAAATATAACCCTACTTTTTAGACAGTCCCTGTTACTAATATGCTGAAATGCTTGGAATTTTAAGTAAATCATCCTTTTAAGACCCTTAACAGTCTTGCATGGGTTGGGGTCTGGGTGGGTGAATATCTTACATGCATGAAGGTGAGATCCAGGTGAGGAGAAGACTGTTTGAAACATGTTAGAGGAGAGCCCTAAGGACATCAAACACTGTTGATTGTAACAAGGAACATAAATACTAAAACAGTCCAGGGATGTGGAGATACCAAAGTGCATAGTATCGTCAGTCAATCTTACTTTAATTGGAAGTATTTGTATCTTATATCAACAAGAGATTAGCCTGAATGTTCATTTATTAATACAACAAGAATATTAATATATATATATATATATATATATATATATATTCATTCACAAGTTTTTAGGGACAGATGTGATTAGTTGATGATAAAGAAAGAAGATCCATTAAGCCTTTTGGTGCTAATTTTTGTGACAATTGTCCCAAGATTATAATATATAAAATTGGAAAAGATCATCATTTTTTAAACATATGACAAAATGCTCTCCAGGGATGTGCAATCACAGTGAAGCTTCATCTCAAGTTCTTTGTGAACTGTCTGCCACACCTGACAAGCCTGGCCCACTGCCCTTATGTGGTAAACATCAACGTCTATAGACAACTATTTGTATATTCCCAAGAGGGCAAGGGCCACATCAAATAACTGCTAATTTGAATGTGTAATTACTTTCTATGAAGCATGTAACTGTCTTCTTTTTACTAAATGTTCGGTCTTTTCAGAACTGTGGATTGTTCTCTGTGGACCCATGTTCTCCCTGACACACACCTTGCAAATTTGTGGAGCAGTTGGAATCCTGCACTGTTGATCAGGACGCAAACTAATGTAATCAATATGGAAAGCAACATGACAGTTGTTCAAATAGCTAAAACTAGACGTGCTTTATGCTTTATTCGATCCGGTGGGTCTTCTAGGTATATATCTGAGTAAATTAAAATAGGATCTCTGAGAATTATCTGTACACTCATGATCATAGCAGCATCTTTCGTGATGACCCAAATGTCTATCAGTAGATTAATAGTAAGCAAAATGTAGTATGTTTAGGTATATATACATTTTTTTCAACATTGAACAGGAAGGGAATTCTGACACATTCCCCAAAGTGGGTAAAAATTGATTATGATAAGTTGAGGAATCCAATTACAAAAAGACAACCACTGTGGAAGGCATCTAAAGTAGCCAAACTCATAAGAACAGATAATATAATGGTAGGGTAAAGTAGACAGGGAAGAGAAGGGAGCCCAGAGAGACAGAGACAAAGACATAATAGGGATAGATGGGACAGGAGGAGGAAGAGGGGAGAGGAGAAAAGAGGGGAGGAGACACCTACGAGCAAAAATAGACCCTTCAAACGAATTCCTCCAGTGATGTATTTCCTTGGTGTCAGTCCTGTCTCCTATTGAAGTCTTTACACCATCCCAACAGCCCATGCAATGATAGATACTTTTTCCTTAGTTTCCTCTCTGGACCTGACAAAAAGCAATTAAATGGGAGAGAAGTTTACTTCAGTCCATGGTTTGAAGAATTATGGTTCAACATGGATGGGGAGACATGGAGGGCTGGGGCTGCTCGCTCACTGTACCATGATGAAGAGAAATGGAGATATCTGTGCTCTGCTTTCTCCTTTCCCCCATTTTATCCTGTCTCAAATCATCAGCTCACGGAATGGTGCCTCACACATCCAAAATGGTTCTTTCCACTCCTGTTGAACCTCTATGGAAACACCAGGTTCTTTCCACTCCTGTTGAACCTCTATGGAAA